ATACATATGTATATATATATATATATATATACATATGTATTTTTTATTCTAATAATATATTTTTGATATTTTTCCTTGATTTCTTGCTCATTTACACACGCACGCACGCACGCACGCACGCACCATTAGAGCAATAGTATTATTTCAGCTAATAAAAATAATATTTTACAGTATTATTAAAAACAAGTTATCATAGGTGTCATCATTTGTACATTACTACTATATTTAACAATAATTAATTTTTTTATGTGTTCCATCTCTTTCACAACATCTTTGAACAGATACCGCCTTGATCAAAAAGTTCCCGGAATTACCATTAGATAATACTCTGAGTCAGCTGATTTGAGTTCTGTTTTTTTGATTAGGTTGCCACATCTATCATTGACATTCCCACCAAATTTTATCACCATAGCTTGACATTTGTAAAAGTTACGCCGTCTTGAGTACATCTACCTCTACACGTATTTTCGATTTTTTACAGTTTTAAAAATGGAGTTGAATTTGCAACAACGGGCTTGTATTAAATTTTGCGTTAAAAATGGATTCAATGGTGTGAAAATGTTGGGAACCCTTGGAAATGTTGGGAAACTGATTTTTTTCTGTTCGATCGAGTCAAAAAAACATTACGGGGAACACGTTTTAACAGCTGAAAGGAGATAATGGAAAAATCGAAGACGGCTCTGATGGCTATACCGACAATAGAGTTCCAGAAATATTTCGAGAACTGGATCAAGCGCTGGCATAAGTGCGTTGCAGTCGATGGGGAGCACTTTGAAGGGGACAATATCACTTTTGATGAATAAAACTTGTATTTTGAATTTTCTGAATGAATTCCGGGAACTTTTTGATCAAGATAGTATGTTACAATGATACATTCATTCGCATTATAAACATTCATGGTTCTTCAAAGGAACAGTTCTCATACGATCACAGAAATGAAGCGTAGTAAGTGGAGGTTCATCATAAAATTAGTCTCGAATTCATAAAATAAATTTTTTTTTATTATAATTTTATCGTGTATCCTCTGAAATATGATACTAATCAATACTTATTTTCACAATAAAATTTCACAATAAAATTTCAATGAAACTTTAATGAAATTTTCTCCACCACTATTACGCTATTAGTGACACTATTAATGACTACTTGTCAAATTTACTTGCATTAATGATTAGTATATTTTTATGCTAACTAGATCAATTCAAGATTTTATTTCCAATCGAAAATTAATCGAAATTGGAGCTAAAAATCCATCGAAATCAATAAAAATTTCGAAAATTTTCGATTTTTATTTTCGACATCGAAACGACGTCTTTTCGAGAAATTATTTCTAATTCGGATTAAACATACATATTTTGATTTTTACAAAGTTAAGTTTTTTTTTAATATTGTCTGTTAATAGTTTTTTGCAAATTGCTCATTACAAAATTAAAAATAAAAAAAATATTTGCACTGCTTCTTTAAGAAATTTAAAAAAGTCTATTTCAAATTTTTAAAAAAGTAAAGTTTAGAATTTTATAGTAATTTAATTTTATCTTAGATTAAATTCCTTGATAATAATTTCCCTGATTTTGTCCAATTTTCCCAGCTCTGATTTTGTCCAATTTTCCCAGCTCTGATCACTTTTTAATTTCACTGACTTTTTCCGATTTTCGCTGCACATCGCTAACAATCCTGTTTTAGTTAAGCGTGATTTAGACGAGGCAACTTTTATTTTCTAAAAGCCGCGTCTAGTGACGGCATTAATTTGCTGACGCTATCGAATTCTCTCGATTTTGCTGCTATTCGCTTCTTAAGCTTCTTAATTCGTCTATGAATTCGCTGATGAAAACTTCTTATACACACTTGGTTTTTATTCGCTAGCGACTAAAATTTTGAAATCGCAGCGTTAAGTGATCGCTAGTGATCAAGCGAATAGTTGGTTACAAAACATAACAGCGGCTCATTCGATGACATGATTATTTTCTAATATTTATGGTCTTAATTATTTTCTAATATTTATGTCTTAATGGTCTAGAAGTTTTTAGTAACGAATTCGCTATGACGTCACTAAATGCGATTTCTAGCGAATAAAAGTCGCCCCGTGTAAATCACTTTACTCAATAAACAGAATATTTAAAATCGACGATAAGCCAAGTTTAGAGTATCTTTGACCCTCCGTTACCTGGAGTTCAGATTCCAAAAAATAATATTATTATATATGTGAATATTATTAGAAATTATATTTTAAAAATCTTTTTTTTAAAATAGGACTTAAACTACCATTTATCCAAAATTTCAAATAATCTTTTTGCACTTTCAACCACATATTGTTCCTTGGACGTCAGTCTTTTTGATTTTTTAAAATATATGTTAAAATTAAAAACTTTAAAAAGCCACTGCATTTTTATATTCTACAATGTTTAAAATATGTTCACTAATTTTTGTGATTTTAAAGAACAAAAGCTGTGAATACAGCAATCAATTAAAATGGCGGGCAATCATTTTGTCCTTTGTATGACCAACATAAAATTCTCAGGAGGGATGATCACGAAGGATTAAGAATTCTTCAAGAAATATTTTTGAAATATTTCATAAAGAACTTTGAAAGATATCTTAATGTTATTTTATATATCGATTTTCATTCACTTCTGCAATTTTTAGAAATTAATATCTCCTTAATTGTTGTGACATTACAATAATAAAAGACTTTTCAATTCAATTTTTCATAAACAGTGTGTTGACTTTTGCGGCTGATGTGGACCACCCTATATATTTATGTAATTGTTAAGTCTAAGATCTCATCTGCAGTATTCGCAATAAAATTGACACTTTAAATTAGCTGTCGCAACAAACGCAACTTGTAACAGGATTATGCTATTGTAGATGGCCTAATATTTCATATGTCATACGACAAACTTTTTAAGCATATTAATTAGCTGCAGGACAGAGGAAATCTTTCTGTGGAAAAATCTTGTTGGATATAACACATGAAATATCAGCCTAACAGTATTAATAAAATGTAAATAATATAATGTAAATAAAATATGATATTGTAAATATCAAGAAGAACTAAATGGGATAAATAAGTGATAATGATGATAGTTGATGTACGCAAAGAAAAGTGATAATTTAATTGATAATTATAATAATTATTTAGAATAGCATATCCCATCTAAAATCTTAATGAAAATATACTCATCCGAAGCGTTCTCACTGAAAATGAAAGAATTTGGCAAAAAAATGCGGCGGTTGGCCTCTTGAATCGAGATATTAAGCGTCAAAGTTCGAGATTTTAGAAGTTAAGATATCTGCCATTTCGACTCGCTACAGCGCTACGTATACGTAAGATCTGTTCTTTTTCGAAGAATTCTGAAATAGTATAATAAGTTAGAGTGAGACAGTTATAGTTTGGAGCACTTTCAGCGCTTTAAAAACGACAATTCATTACTTTAAAAATAATTCACTGCTTTAAAAACAATTCACTGCTCTAAAAAACAACAATTTACTGTTTTAAAAACAATTCACTGTTTTAAAAATTCATTGCTTTAATTCATTGCTTTAAAAACAACAATACACTATTTTAAATAACAAATTCTTTGCATTAACAGTGAATTTGTATTTTTAAAGTAGTGAATTGTTGTTTTTAAAGAAGTAAATTATTCTTTAAGCAGTGAATTGTTTTTAAAGCAGTAAATTATTGTTTTTAAAACAGTGAATTGTTTTTAAAGTGGTGAATTGTTGTTTTTAGAGCAGTAAATTGTTGTTTTAAGTAGTGCTTTTGTATTTTTAAAGCATACAATAGAGCTTATTATTTAAAATGTATATCTTTTTGATTTTTCTTATATGAATTAAAATTTTACAAAATGTTACAAATGTTTCATTATGTATTATTTAATTCATTAATTAAAATTAAGGTATTACCCATGATTAAACCTGTAGTGAATCGCGCATTCCGATCTTTTTATACACGCTTTTTTTAATGTAAAGGATAAGATTGTGCAAAAAATCTTCGATATTGCATTTACAAAAGAGAAATTTATGAGAATCATTCGTTTAAGTTGCGATCCCAGAACAATTTTCGAATAAATCTTGGCCACAATTTTGCAAGTCCAACTACTTGGACAGCAAGCCAAAGATTTTTATTCAGTTGGTCTACTGAATATGTTATTTTATTTATTATGATTAGACGTTATTATGATTAACGTGGTTAAAGTTTCATTACAAATGCTTTAAAGCATTTGATGGACTAATTAGAAGAAGATTTTACAAACTGACCAATTAAAAAATGCTTTAAAGCGTTTGTAGCATCGCTTTGATACTCTAAACCATACCTTAAATCAGCAGAAAAGTATGTATTCTAAAACAACACCGCTTACTGATCGCTTAGTGAGCTTTTTCATTTGATTGGCATATTCCTTAGATCCTAAAATATAGACTAATCAGAGAAAGTGCTCCAAACTACAATTGTCTCACTCTAACTTATTGTACTATTTTAGAATTCTTTGAAAAAGAACAGATCTTACGTATCATAGCGTTGCAGCAAGTCGAACAGATCTTAACCTCTAAAATTTCGAACTTTAACGCTTAATAGCTCAGTTCACGAGATCGACCGCATTTTTTTACCACATTTTTTTACCAGATTCTTTCATTTTGAGTAAAAACGCGTTGGAGTATATTTTCATTTAGGTGAGATATTCTAAATAATTACCATAATTATAATTAATGTTGTGTATAGCACAATTTTAACTTATAAGATACTGAAGAATGTATGTGAATAAATAACATTGTGTCTTCCAACAAGCGACACAGTACGACACAGTGATCATGTCATCTTCGTTTAACATTGACAAACAACAAGGATGTAATGATCCATTGTGTCACACCATGTAATTTGTGTCGCTTGTTGGAAGGCATATATTGTAAAAGTCCGTTCTTAATTATATAACTGAAATAATAATTCTATTCTATTCAATACCTATAATGTACAAAGTGGATTCCAGGAGGGATCAGTTTGAATCCCTTAAAATTCTGCCCTACATTCCAGGACTTTATATCAATACCAATGTCAGTGCCCGCGGGTACATCTAATAAAACTAACGTGGCACCTTGTGTCAATAGAATTTGTGCATTTTGATCTATTTCCATTTTGACTAATTAAAAAAATTTTAAATTGCTCTCTTTCTTGCCTCGAATCTTAATAAAAATATATTCATTCAACACGTATTAACTCAAAACAATCTGGCAGAGAAACGTGACGGCCAAAGAGGATAAGATAGAGTGGAAGCATAGCGTATTCTTCGACGCTGGCGCCACCCTAGTATTTCAGTACGGTACTGTTTGTGCATGTGTGTATGTGTGTATTAATGTGTTTTTGAAAGTGCTGTATAAACAGAAAACTCAAAAAATAGTGAGACCTATTCTTTGATGAAAACCGAAGCGAAAACTGAAAATGGTGCATTGCAGAATGGATTGTCCGAATGACTCCCATAACAATAAGGATGCATCATTTTTCTTTTTGCCAAAATACCATGAAACATAAATAAATGAAAGAAATCTAATCTGTAAAATATTACATTGAATGTTACTTAAAATTATTATTTTATTATTTGAAAATCAATCATTATAATTGCAGGCGTTTAAAGTGATTAGAATTTGTACTATCAAATGTTAGGTTGGACAATTCCAGCAACTTTCAGATATGCAATTTGCATTTCGATGACGCGTATTTCCGAAAAAAGTATTCCAGACCACTATTAATAATGGACAGTATTCCAACATTAAAATCCTCAACAGGTCAATGATAAGATTTAATATTTTTAAAAATTTTCTCAGTTATAAGAGTTTACTTAAGATAATGGAGCTTATCAAATTTTGAAACTTGTATGTACGTACATTTTATCTTATTGTGTAGATAAAATCAAATCGAAGACAACAAATGAAACTTTCTTTAATCAGGATTATTTTTGTACTTCATCCGATGCAATCAACTCAACTTCGTCGAGTGATATTGGGAGTACAAATTAATTCGGTCCGTTTTTTTGTGTTCAAAAATGCATTTATTTCAAAACAAAATGAATGAACAGATCAATTAAAGTATTGTCCATCGCTACTACTTTTTCCCATCTCTCAGGCAATTTTCGAATTCCATCTCGAAAAAATGACTCGTCTTTGGAGCCAATTTTCGATTTCTGCGAAAGAAATGCACCGGTGACTTGCCAAATCGTGCTGCATCCTTCGGAACAACCAGTAATAAGAAGGAGCAATGTCCAGAGAATACGGCGGATGCGGTAAAACATCCCATTTGAGCGTTTCCAAATATTTTTTTACGACTTTAGCGATATAAGGCTGAGCGTTGCCATGAAGAAGAATAACTTTATCATGTCTTTGCTCGTATTCTAACCGTTTTTTTCGCACTGCACAGCTCAAACGAATCAATTGTATCGATCGCCCGTAATGGAATCGCCAGGTTTCAGCAGCTCATAGTAAACAAGACACTTTTAGTTCCATCAGATACAGAGCATGATTTTCGAACCATGAATATTCGGCCGTGGTGTTGATGTTGAGGTCGATTGCAACGATTGACGATTGACGTGCTTAGCGTAGTATTTTTTCTTCTTGGGATTGTTGTAGAATACTTCTACTTCTCATCTCCAGTCACAATCCAATGCAAAAAAAAACCTTTTCTCTATTGTCTTTGAATCAGTTCGCAAGTGAAAAATCGCCTTTCAATGTCTCTCGGTTTCAGTTCACCCAATTTCCTTGTTTTTGAATCATTCCCATGGCTCTCAATCGTACAAAAACGGCTTGTCCCCAATGATTCTGCAAAAGCTCCTCTTGCGTTTGACTCTGATCTTCGAGTAATTCTTTGTCTCTCTAATTCTTTGTCTTCGAATTTTTTTGGCTGTCCAAAGCGAGGCTTCAACACTGAAATCTCCATCCTTGAAACGTCGAAACCATTCCCTACATGATTTATCAGTTGGAGCAGTGTCCAGTAACCAATCACCATAAATGCTTTGACAAGCATTCGATGGGCTTCAGTCGCACTTTTCTTCCAATTAAAGCAGAAAATCAAAACCTCCCGCAAATGCTGCTTGGTTAACATAAAATTCGACATTTCAAACACAGTAAAAATCAAGGTTTTTGTATGAAACTCAAAGCGACATAAACTGAATATTATTAGCAGATGTTTAACCTCTCTGAAACCGCTAAAATCAGCTGTCACTATGAACCATTCACAATAGCTGGAACCATCTTTAGGGAAACGGATCGAACTAATTTGTACTCCCAATACAAGCAAAGTTATCATCGATTTAATTAAGAAACTTGAATCATTACAGTTGGTGAGCTTCACAATGCATTTATCCTCTTATGGCTTGTAGTTTTGTTGTTCATGTTTTTATGATGTACAATAATTATCAATTTTACATCATTATATACAAGTGCTCATTATGTACATAACATTACTAATGATCAGATCATAAGAACAACTCAAAGTGATAAAAAAAAAAACTGGCATTCAAATTGACATTGATGTGCAAAATAGTAATTAATGGTAAGTAAAAATCTATACTCATTAAGTGGTCTTAATTAATATAGGTAAATGTACTATGATAATAAAACTCTTCCTTATTTCTTGGCTTTACGAATCGTAGAATATGAAACAATTTACGTGTCGATGTTACGTTTCGGTTTATAATGGGGATCGACTTTGTAAGATCTGTAATTAAGTTTATATAATTAATTAAGATAAATGGTATAGAAACTTTATATACATTTTTTACATATGATTGAATGTTTGACGCTTGCTTTGACGCTTGCTTTAAGCGTCGTTTTATCCTTGTTCATTAAATATTAAATAAGGACAATTAATGTTCACAAGCGTCGTAAGTGCCAAAGTGAACGCAACCTTAATGACACAAACTTATAGGAGCGTTTATTTAGTCGTAACCGTAAGTATTCTCTCATTCAATAGTAAGAAGAGAATACTCGAATTGGTCAATTTTTACAGATTACAGCATATGGCATACGATTAAGGCCAATAAACGCTTCCTATGACTGTGTGCCATTTAACGCTTGTGGAATTCATTTCATCTTTGTCGTTTATGAAATATTAAACAAGGATAAATGATTCTTACAAGCGTTGCGAGTGTTGAATGGAACGCAGCCTTAATTTTATTAAATATTTAAAAAGGATAGAATGATGCTTGTGTCAATTTGTATTAATTTGTATTAATTTATGTTATTGACATTATATGACAAGCATCCATGAATCATCTCAATTATATTTGAATTTGTTTATTTAAGTGTGTAATATTATTAAGTGTGTATCATATAATTGTACAAATAAATGTAATTGTATTGTATACAAGATGTCTGGAAATAATCGTCAAATATTTCATGAGCAGGTAGAGAATACTGCGAAATGTATACGCCTACCGATCGCTTGGCGCACGGGCCGTGAGGAGCGCAAAACGCACCGTCCGAGCTACGCGGCGCGAGGCGCTTGCCAGCCAATCCCAACTCCCAAGGTCCATGCGCCAAGCGATCGGTAGGCATATACACTTCGCAGTAGTAGGCCGGGTGAGCGCGCGTATTCGGCTATCTTTAAGGATTAATATCTCTTAACTATTGGGGAAATTTACAAAATAGTAGAGAACTTTTCAACTCAGTTTAGTCTGCTCTACCTACCCATAAAATATTTGATGATTATTTCCAGACACTGTATGTAAATGTAATTGTAGATATATAAATCGATGGAGCTACATGATTTAATTTACTAACTTACTAACTTAAGTAATTGAATCTGTATAAGTAAATAAATATTTTGTAAATTATCCTTCATCGCCACATTTACCTTCAATCGCTGATCAAAAAAGAAGTGCCTTCAAGAATCTCTCCAGAGAAAAAATCATATTCACTCCTAAGTATCTTCGCCTTCGTACACAAAAGAGAACTATCTCAGTTCTGCAAAGTAAGATAAACCGTTTAAAACGAACATCTAACTAATTAATAATATCGGAATCGCATAGAAAAGCTAAAATCAGGAAATTAATAGACGATGCTTCTTCTCTTCTATCTAAGCCAGCTAAAATACTATTTTCGTCCCAATTGTTTATAATTGTTTATTGCTCAGTAAACGGTCTAAGAATAATAGACGCTACTCCGACAAGTTGAAAAATATAGCTTTGTCTACATTTCCAATCGCCGAAAAACATACCGATTTATTTATTACAAAAGATATTAATTTTACTCTCGAAGCGATATCAGAATCTCTGAGAGTATCAGAACATGTTTCCAATATATCCCGGGTGGAATAAAATGATTTTTGACGAATTCAATAACACTTTTAAGAATAGACCTTTGAAGAACAGAGTGATATCCATCTTATTCGACGAAATCAGTCTCTCTTCTAAAATTCATTATTCATTATCCAAATAAAGATTAATTTAGTGACGTTGCAGATGATGGAACCAATAGGCAATCACAAGTAGCAACATCAGCATTAATTGCAATGATCATTTGGATCAATAGAAATTGGATATTGGTTTCTAAACAGTGTAGGCAATTCTGATAGAACACGTGAAATTATTGACTCTATACACATGTGACAATACTACATGAGCTGAAAAGTTCCAGGATTTTTAATGAAAACAAGTGTTTTTTGGGCAAAGTTATATTTATTCCTCAACATAGTTGCCTTCGAGGGCGATACACTTGGTATAGCGATTTTTCAACATTTCGATGCCCTTTCTGTAGTACGAAACGTCCAAGCCTTCGAAATACGCCTTGGTTTCCGCGATGACTTCCTCATTCGATGTGAATCTCTTTCCCTGGAGCCATCGCTTGAGGTTTGGGAACAGATAATAGTCGCTGGGGGCCAAGTCTGGAGAATATGGTGGGTGAGCAATCAATTCGAATTATAATTGATTCAATTTGGCCATCGTTTTCAAGGATACGTGTGTGACGGTGCGATATCGTGATGGTACAGAACGAAGGCGAAAGTAGCGTCACTTAAACGACTGTAGCTTGTAAACAAATGAACGAAATGTCATAAAACTTCATACATAAACTAGTGACAGATGAACCTCTCGAAATGAATCATGTTCATTTTCTAATGGCGCCACATATTGAAAAATCCCGGGACT